TAAGCAGAAAATACATTTTGAAATCATAATGTAGAAGGCAGAAGATATTTTGAGATGAAAGATAATTTTATAAACAGTAGTTTTATATTTCCCTGATTTTAAAGAAGACATACTTTCTAATAGTCACACATTATGGGGACATTTAATACTTCTACTAAAGAAATTCTACAGTATTTGAAGCTTCCATATATTTAGCATTGAGCAATTGCTAGGAAGTGGACTTTTCCACAAGAACTTCAAGGTCATTTTGGAATTGGGATCCCAAATGTTGATAAGCTAGAAAATGCATCCCTGTGGTCTGATGTATTTGAAACTAGATTTGGTGTAAATTATTAATGGTTTTGTTTCTCTGTTTCTATCATTTTACCTCAGGTGGAACATCCTCAGAGATCTAAAAAAGCTGTTTGGCACAAGCTGCTCTCTAAGCAGAGGAAAAGAGCCGTGGTAGCGTGTTTCCGCATGGCTCCTTTATATAATCTGCCAAGGTGGGGACTTTTTCAAGATTTAAAACAGATTGCAGTTACTTCCCCTAATAAGGGATAAGAGACTGGCCTCCAAGTAAACCTGAGTTCTATAGCCCAAGAAGAGCATGGGAAAGGCTTATGTAAGATTTAACCTTGTTCCCGTTGTTGGATACTCCCAGAGAACTGTGGTGTGAACTGTTAAGTGACCCTGGAACACCAAGGAAGACCTGCTTAGCTATGTGAGACAACTGCCAACATTGGGAGATTATTCTTTAGTAGTAGACTGCCTGAATTTGAGACCTGGTCTCTCAACTTTGGATCTGTGTGACATAGATCAACGTCATCTCTTCTCATTGATGCAGTGATAGGCCCTATCTCCAAGTCATTCTGCTTATTCCATTGGTCAGTGTATGAAAGTGCTTACATTTATCTGTGCTTGGCCCAATAAATTTTAGTTATTGTTAGTATTTTCTAATGATTAGCATTTAGGGTAAAATCTAACACACCTGTTAGACATAGTGGCATGGTAGCATATGTGTTGAGCTTCTAACCATCAAGCCAACAATTGAAGCCACCAGCTGCTTCATAGGAGAAAGATGAGGCTTTTTGCTCCTGTAAAGATTTACAGTCTCAGAAACCCACAGGGCCAGTTCTACTCTGTCCTAAAAGGTCCCTTTATGATTCAGAACTGACTGGCTGGCAGTGAGTTGTTGGTGAGGGTCAAGTCTTGAAATGGAACTGATTTATGGGACTAAAGAAAATAAATTTACATACCCAACAACTTTCTATTAGCGGTTCTCAACCTGTGGCTCGCTACCCCTTTGGGGGTCAAACGACCCGTTCACAGGGGTCACTCAATTCATAACACTAGAAAAATTTCAGTTATGAAGTAGCAACAAAAATAATTTTAAGGTTGGGGGCTCACCACTACATGAGGAACTGTATTAAAAGGTCGCGACATTAGGAGGGTTGAGAACCACTGCATCTAGCTTCCATGTCGATTAGGAGACACAACCTAGTGCATCAAGTTTGGCTTACTGACCTTAGGTAACCATTTCAGTCTTGCAATTTCTATACAAACTATGCCTTCACACTCTGAACTAGGAACAAGTGCATAACTCCCATGTGTGCTGCATAGGATTCAGCTCAGCTCTACCTCTTTATGAAATATCTAAGTGAGTCTCATTTTCTTACGCCATGCACCTGGAATGCTTCCATTTGTCTCCAGGACACTTTTATGCCTATTGTTAGTGGTAAGATTTTACTTTAGTATTGAGGCTATTTTTCCTTCTGATTCAGAGGTTGAAGTCCTTTAGAGTTTTGCTCAATCTTATGTTCTCAATGCCTGGAATGCTGCATGATCCATTTTCAGTACATAAATGAATTAATGAATGAATGAAGACCAAAAGTAAGGGGGAGCTAACAAACCACAAAATTCCCCTAAACCAAAGAAACAAATAAAAAGTCACAACTCTACCTTATGTTTAGATAGTGTTCTACCTTGAGGATTATTGAAGAGGTGAAAGTCCATATAACTTACGTTGTTTTCTTTATAAATAAAAAGAATTAGAGTTAAGAGATTGAGCTCATTTCAATGAAATGCACCCCCCCCCATACTGTTAATCTCTCATGAACTTCGTGATGGTCTTTTCTTATCCTTCTACTATTTTATTTCATAGACCTCATACCTTCACTATCTTAGAATTTTATCACTATGCATATCCTCCCATATACGTCAATTTATATGTTTTGCTTTGCACTGCTCAGGAAGTGCCTTTAATGTTAACTCAAACAGAAACATCCCACTAATGATTCTTCTCCTATTCTTTATCAGAGCCTCAGAGGTTATAATAGTTAGCACTCAAATGAACCTGCACAATGTGCTTTCTATTCTTTACCTCCTTTTAAAACTCACAAAACTGAAATATAGTGGAGGTCATACTAGGTTTATAAATGAGAAAAATGAACATTAGAAAAATTCGATAACTTGCTCACTAGTACTGTGAACTTAGAAATGTCTGAGCCAGAATTTAAATGCACATTCGTGTGGCCCCAAGAGCCTACTAAAACCACAAGGATGTGTTCCTACCCCAGTAAAGGATAGAAAGTCCAGTTAACAAATAATCTAGTGATATGTACCACTGAATGACCTTTCCATTTAAACTCAAAGACTGTTGTTTGAAATTGTGCTTATGTCCTAGGCACCGAGCTGTCAATCTCTTTCTTCAGGGATACGAAAAGTCTTGGATTGAAACAGAGGAACATTACTTCGAAGATAAACTGATAGAAGACTTAGCAGTATGTTTTAAATGGGATTATAAAAAGAATGAGGGTTTGGTACTGATGGAATAAAGTTGATGTGGGCAATTCTCATGTGACTGGAAAAAAATATCATTTCAGTTTGTTGGTCTTCGGAGACTTTTATCTCAATTATTACTCTATTCGGGGTCTAGCGGAAAATCCACTATTTTAGAGCAATGCCATTATTCATAGTTTAAGATGAAAAATACAAGTTTATTATAAACCAAACTTTGATGCAATTTTTCTTAAGTTCCTACTTAAAGCACCATTAAATGCCACAGAAACAAGCTAGAACTGTAAAAGATTAAAAATGAGGTGTATTTTATTGTATTCTATTGATTGATTCATGAGTCTCTAAATTGTTAAAATGTCTTTAGAGTGAAAAAATCTATAGAATATTGAATGGATTTTAGAAATTTACCAAGCATTCCTAACATTGTCTTAAGCCAGGAAAGAAATCACTCACATAGATTCTGTCTATAATAGGATTTAATAAAAGGCTAATAAAAAGATGCTGGTATAAAAAATTCCACAGGGCAGAGAAGATGTGCTAGACGTGAGAACAGCTGTCATCATGTCCAGTGCATGTCAAGTGGAATGGTTGCGTAGCTTTGCTGTTAGGAGGATTCTTTTTAAGAGCTGCATGTTAGAAGGATCATCTCAAGCATTTCTAAGTCCAAGACTAATTTAAAACTATGTCAAAGACTTTGGATCATATTCTCAAATAAATATGTAAACATGCGGTAGATTTTAGATTTATTTCTGCTAAAATATCTTTCAGTCTCAAGAGTTTTTTTTCCTTTTTTCATAAAGTAGATATCACAAACTTTTTGCTATTTCAGTATCTTTAGGTTTACCATTCAGCAAAATTAATTAAAATAACAAATTTATGCAATCATTACCACTATCCTTTTCCAAAATACTTTTATCATCCCAAACAGAAACCCAGAAATCCCTTAAACAACTTTCCATTTCCCCTACTCCCATTCCCAGGCAACTACCAAGGAATGGCTGTTTCTATGCATTTCCTGTTGTAGATATTTAATTTTGTGTAAATGAACACATACAGTATTTGTACTTCTGAGGGCCACTAATTTGCAAATGAGATTAGGGACTGTGTGATTACAAGTTATGAACCATTTATTTTAATTGATGTGTATGTGTGTGGTAAACATATATTTCACAAAACACCATTTCAACAATCTTTACATATATAGTTTGGTACATGTTCATCATAATCTCAAATTTTTTCATCACCCTTACCAAAGTTTCCCCTAAGCAATAAGTCCTTTCTTTCTACTAACCAACCTGCCCCTAGTAACTGTTAATAAACCTTAGTCTCTGTAGTCTCTCTCTGTACACTTGCCTATTCTAGATATGTCATTTGAATGTACTTACACAATATTTGTTCTTTTGTGACAGTTTTATTCTACTAAACAAAATGTTTTCACAACTCATCCATAATGTAATACAATCAGGACTTTATTTCTCTTTATGACAAAATATAAAAGTCATTTCTCCAGCTAACAAATTATTATGGAATACAGTAGATAAATAAATGCAATTCTTATAAAACCTAATAGTGAATAGATCTCATCTTTTCTTACATAAATGCCTTTTGTCTTTGGAATCAAAATAACCCATAGAATATTGGATGACTTGTAGAGATATTCCAAGAACTCCTAACCTTAAGTCTTAGTCACAAAATAAATAATTTATGTAGAAAGAATATCAAGCCAAACGAATAATTAAGTTATTAAATAAATACAAATAATTCACTCAATCAATAAATAAAAAGAGAAATATAATTCTATAGTCAATAAAAATCACTAATAACTTTCCTGGATGTGAAAGGTTTATCCAATAATGTAAAACTGAAAATTTAATAAAATTCGTATTTAAGCAGTTCAAGCATTATTAACTCACTTAGAATTCATCAATTGTCATTTTTTTTGTACGGGGAAACGATTTTTAAAATTTCATAATTACTTTGCATTTCTAGATGAACTAAATGTTTATAATCAGAAGATAACATTGTATTAAAATATTTGCAAATTGAGCCCTAAGAAAATAAAAATCTGCATAGCCAATAACTACCCTTTTGATTCATTTTTATAAGAAATTTTTTATTCATTTTTATAAGAATGCCATTTCAAACATTAGGAATCATTGCCCATATTCTTTATTGATTAAAATATATGTATTTCTGTTTTACAGTATACTGTTTTGCATAGGGAACATAATATATGCATATGACACGTACATGGCACAGCAGAAAGAAGACTTTCCTGTTAGTCTTTGTTCCTAAGCAAGTTTCAGTTGGATTTCAGTGGACATTTGTTGTAAATATGAAATTATATGAATTTGACTTTTTTTCATAGAAACCTGGAGATGAGCCTCCAGAAGAAGATGAAGGCACTAAGCGAGTTGATCCTCTGCATCAGCTGATCCTTCTGTTTAGTCGAACAGCCTTGACAGAGAAATGGTATGGTTGGGACGGTTCAGATGAGACATAGGAGACATAAGACAGTCCATGTTGGAGTATTCCATGTGTCAGATATTCATATTTAAATTTAATCTTGTTCTTCTTCGAAGAGAGGGGGTTCAAAAAATGTCAAATTTGACAAATGTATGTTCCTCCCTCTTAGCTCTTTTTAACAACTCAGTAAGTAAGCTGGCTTGGTTGATTCTTAGTTGTTCTTATGAATTATTTTTCTCTTATCACAAGCAGTTTTATAAATGAATGAGTCTGAAACTAATCCCAGTACCAAAAATATATGGAGATTAATACTGCCTGCAATTTCCTAGGTAGATTGTATCTCCACTATGGGATGGGTCCAAGGTAACCTAGGGAAACCTGATCATTCCAACTTTGAATTCTCTCCAAGATCCATTTTAAGATTTGGGGCTTTGCTGGCCTCTTACTGTCTTAGTCATGAGAATTCACCAAAGTCACACAGGAAAAATTTCTGTGTGGTTAAATAAGAAATCTATGCCTGATAATCAAAATGATTTCAACTTTTGCTCATTCTAAGGGCACTTCACAGCTTATCTCTGTAGAAGAAGTACTTCAGAAATTGTAAAAGCTTTGTCTGCCTCTTTACCTTTCAAAAGAGCCATTTTTTGTCCCAGGTTTTACATGTTCTCTGCAAACCCTTGGGATGTACTCTAATCAACAGTCTCCACACAAGTCTGCCTCCTCCGAAGTCGTAAAGATTTCATTTGACCTCCTGCATGCCATAGTAATGCACATTTTTCCCTCTTAGCTAATGGGATCCATCCCCTCTGTCACTATTTCTCTCTCTCTTGTTATTTCCTAACTAACACAGTCATCTCAGCCCTAAGCATAGAGCAACTCTCTGTATCACATTGTCAGGTAATGAGCTATTTATCATAAGTGAATTTTTCTGATGGCTGAATTTAAAATCTGCAAAATAACATTGCAGAATTCAGGGGTCTATTGCTAGAAGCCATTCTTAATATATTATCTGTCTCCATACTTCCTCAAAAAGGTCACTGAACATTTTTAACCTCAGTTTTTAAGGACCGTTATTGTGACGATCTTATATTTTAATTGATAACATGTCACTTCTGATGTCAAACTCCTACATCATTTAAGTTTTCTTGTCTCAGATTTTGTATTTTGAAAAAAATGAAAGTTATTATGTGTGTAGAACATTCGATCATGTATTTTGCGAATTTTGAGACACTCTTCTGTAAGGTAAGGTAGGGTAGACTTAGAGAATGCTGAGGTCTTTGATTTCTTATTCTAGGCTATTTTTATAAGACCTATTACCAAAGTTTTGTGTTAATTTATTGATGGAAAAAACAAAGATTATTTTATATTTTTTATCTATACACAGCCTTCTATTTAACAATTAATGTTTTTCTTGTTTTCTAAAGCAAACTAGAGGAAGATTTTTTATATATGGCTTATGCAGATATTATGGCAAAAGTAAGCAACCATTCTTTCTCATTTTATTGTCTAATTTTTATAAAAGCAAATCTATTGTATCTGATAAAGGATAAGAATCAATATTCTGGAGTAAAACAAAAGTGGTGTTAAGCTTTAATTTCCACTTGTTGCATGAGTCTTTACTAAAACTTTCTTGACATCTAGTCATTGTTGCCTACTTTAAAATTTCACATATTGTGCACTCATTCATTTTCCAAACAGTCATTTATTCATCAAATATTCGTTGGGCATCAAGGAAATTTGGGGATAGAATTGTGAATAAGCAAGAAGCACATGCAGTGTGCTTTCCCAGAGCTTGCCATCTCATGGGAAACAATATTCAAACCACTGACTACAAAAACTCTAATAAATACAATGACATAAGAGCTATTAGGTGTTTGGAACACAGGTTACATAACATAACAATGGGACCTGCATAGTCTAAAGCTTAGTTAGGGAAGTTGAATGTTGAAAGATATGTTGCAGAAAAAAAATAGTAATATTATTTACTGAGCATTTATTTAATTTGATCCTTGGATAAAAGATGAATAAGGAAGTTAGGATAAAGGAACAGTTAAAGGATTCTCTGAGACTTCTGACTTAAAACTGAATAGCTGGCAACGCCATTACCAAGGTGGAGAGCATAGAATAATGTTTGGCTTTGTCAGGAGAGGAAGATAACGAATTGTAGACATACTGAAAATGCCTGGGAGACATATAAGTGCCTTGGTGGTACAGTGGTTACATATTGGGCTGTGATTCACATGGTCAGAAGGTGGAAACCACCAATAGCTCAATGGGAGAAGGACTAGGCTTTGTACTTCTGTGAACCATTCCAATCTCAGAAGCCCTCAGGCAGTCATTATGAGTCAGCAATGACTCTTTGGCAGTGAGTTTGGTTTTGGTTTAAGTAAAGATTTTAGTATATGATTTGGCATTTGTATCTGCCATTCAGTATACCGGGTAAGAATAACACAGTTGAAGTCAGAGGAATTGATTATATTGTCCATATTGTCAATGAAGGGAGGAAAACTTTTTCCTAGGTAAGGACCTGTAAGCATATAGAAATGTAAGTGACCATTACAGTGTAAGGTGGTGAGAAGTCGATGCAATGCAAACACATGCAAGAATCTTAACTGTGACCTGATATGTGAGCTATGGGAAGAATTATGTGGATTGCAGAATAATAATGTTTAGAAATTAAATAAGGAAGGATTGAACATTCTCCAACATTTTTTACATGTATGTCATGGGACAATAGTGAAGGCAGTTTAGAGAACTGGGGAGTGGTGAAGAGGGGATGAAGTGGTGAAAGTGCCATACTATAGAAATGTGAGTTGTGGTTCAGATTTGAGGAGTGATAATATAAATATGACTTTACTGAAAAGATAAAGAGCGGAAGAGAAAGGCATAAGGTAATAAATATATAGAACCATGATATTGCTGAAAGGGAATTTATTTTGTTTTTCAGTTTTTAAGAAAGAATTAGGTTAAAAAACAAAAACAAACTCTAAACTCAGTACCATCAAGTCAATTGGAACCCATAGTGACCCTACAGGACAAGGTAGAACTTCCAGGGTTTCTGAGACTGTAACTCTTTATGGGAGAAGAAAACCTCATGCTTCTCCCTTGGAGGACTTCATGGGTTCAGACCGATGTTCTTGAAGTTAGCAGCCCAATGGATAACCACTGTTCATCATGTTTATATGTGTGTGGGAAGGGGACAGTAGAGTAAGTGAATGAGTAATTTTTGGTGTAAGGTCCCTGATAGGTGGGAGGAGAGTTCAGGTTATGTAATATAAGTGAAAAGAAGAGCTTCCTTATTTTAAACCACAGAATAGAATATAAAATTCATTTATTTAGTACATTTATATATATACCTTGGAAGAAAAGTTTCATGAATTTATACCCTTTCTGTGAGCAACATAACCTGATATTTCATTTGTATTTCTATTTTTTAAATTGTGTCTTGTGGTAACTCACAAAATTATTTTATGTCCAATCATTGGATTGAAACCCATAGTTTGAAAACCACTAGGTAAAAGAGGGAGGCTGTGAAGTGTAGGGTGGCCACAGTAAGTTTGCTTTTAGTTCTGTTTTCTCTCTGAAAAAGAAAGTACACTCATGTGTCAGGACTGGCAAATGGATGAAAGGGATCTATCTGTAATGGAAAGTTTCAAGAGAAGAGCTAAAATAGACATTTTGAAAATTAGGAAGGAACATTGACTAGAAACTGAAAAAGGCTACTTAGTCAGGGTAGAAAGGCCAGAATTTATTGTCTGTAAATTTTTAAAAACACCAGTATACCAAATGTAGAGTCAAAGAAGGAAAATTAGATTCTTCTGGGAAGAGGGTTTTTGCCATGTTAGCACAGAAGGAAAATGGATCAAAGCAGTTTTGTATATTGCTGATTTGTTGAATTGTGGATTCTAATTAGAATGAAGAAAGATCTAGAATAAGAGGGACCTGATTTAAAAGAGAATAATAGAGGAATTCATGACCTGATGAAGAACTTTAGATGAGGGTGAATATTCAATGAAAATATTGAAGTCTCTGATTTGAAAGTAGGATATTTCTAAGTCTTAAAGGCTTCCTTGTGACTGTAGTAAACTCTGCCATTACATTTATTCTAGTCAAAAACTAAAACTAAACTTAATATTATTTTCCACTTGGGAAAAAGTATTTGATACATTATTTTTTAAATATGTATTCTTATTATAAAGTCTTGTTACTTCCAGAGTTTCTAAAGGTGATGAACTTTATATATCAGGTGATGTAATGGAAAAAACCTTAAGACTGTATATCCTTAAGGAATATTTATATTAGTAAATATAAATAGTAAACATGGTTGTTACCTGATAAACTCATTAAGCTTTTTACTCCTAATTCAAAATTCTGCTGAAGGGAAATTATAGAATAGGTGATCTTCTAGAGCAGAAAAACTAAAAACAAACAGCCTCTATTAGACATTTTAATCATCATTCCCTAAAACAAAACCCATTAAGATGAGTCCAAGTCATGATGCCCCTTGTGTTACAGAGAACCGCCCTGACTGCTTGGCTTCAAACAGGTCACAGTTTTAGGTTAGTAGTCCAGTGGAAACCAGGGACCTTTCTGTATTCAACAAACATTGGGGGAAAAAAGCAAACAATAAGAGCAGAATGCCCCTCTTGGCTTCCAAGATTGTAAATCTTTATAATAATTCTTGTCTTAAAGGATTGCGATTTGGTCTGACCATGGCAAATGTGAGAAAAAGTAGTTTGTGTAGTATGATATGAACCTGATCATTTTCTGTTATGAAAAAGCCAATAATTTAATATCTTAAAGTTATAAAATCAGTATATAGTTTTCTTTTGGTCATGAATTCATCATTCATGTTATTTAAGCTTATTGTGTATTATTTATCATATGTGGTTAAACAGCTTTAATGACAAGAATTAAAACTAATATAGATGATTATTGTTCCACAGTAAATTCTGTTGAACTTTCTGCCTCATTCTATCACTGACAACTTCTTTTTCTTGCACATCAGAGCTGTCATGATGAGGAAGATGATGATGGTGAAGAAGAAGTGAAGAGTTTCGAAGTAAGATGAATTTTTCTACATTTATCATTTGTATATTTTGAAACATTATTTCATAGCTTATAACTGACATTTCTGTTTCTTGCTTCATGGCTTATTGCAGCTTATTGTGTCAAGGAACTGCATGTCAGAAGCTGGATAGGCAAATCTGTGTCCTAACATTTGCTGAAGTTAAAATCAAAGGAATAGAATAGTGAAATGATAACATAAAACCCATATGTTCAGAATGAGTGTTCCTGAGAACTCTCAGAAATGAGATTACTTCAAATTTTTCTCATCTCATTAAATGTTGTGGTCTGGAATTCCCAACAACAATGAGGACAATATTTATTGAAGAGCAACATGACATCGAAATTTTTATTAAACCTGTTGGTAATGTCTGCTGAACTGACGAAGTTTTCATGACTTAGCTCATTTTAACTTCTGCCCAATTAGGTCACTCATTCCTTGTACATATGTAGACAGTAGCACACGATGCCATTTGCTTGCATGAGGTAGGAGCACATCTATTCCTGAACTGTGTTCTAGTTTATGATTATTTTCTGAGGTATTTGCAGATTTTCAATATTGTATGTCATTTGAAATGCTGCTTGTGTTAATAGGCTAGAGGAAGAGTAAATATTCACCCACCCCTTTTTATTTCAATCACATTTTATTTATCAGCTAGTTGTTGATAACCACTCTTGTTTATTGGCTCCATTTCTTTTTGTTGTTGGGGGGTGTGTGGAGTTATTTCATTTTTTAACATGAATTTCAAAAGTAAATGAAAGAGGAAAAATAGACTAGATTCTTGTTTGTTTTGTTTTTAACTAATGTACATTCAGGACAGTGAACTAAGTATCTGGGCATATGTAAGTAATTAGCAATAAATATTTAATTTCAGAGGCCCTATGAAAGATATAAAGTGGATTTAGAAGAATACCCCATTCAGTAACAGTTTAATATGCTCATCTCTGCATCAATGAAGTCAATGTGTAAAAAATTAATTAATATAAAATGAATCCATTGATTATTACTGGCTGGGAAATATGTCATGAGATAGGTAATTTCCTCTATGACATTTTAATGCTTTCTAATGTATGTGTATTCTATTCTCAAAATCGTCTTTATGGCTCAGAAAGTGCAGCAAACTGGAATGAGTTGTGGGTGGCAAACAATACTGTTTCTCTGAAGTGCACACCAGTGGTGCTCTCTTGGTTGTCTTTGGAGCAATTGTTTATTGCTATTTTGCTTCTCGTCCTCATCCTTCCTTAAGGTCACAGGATCGCAACGCAGCAAGGTAAAACTATGTATGTGTATGTATTTGTCTGGGTCTGAGTTTCAGCTTCTTGTGACTACCTTTCTTAGACCCAACATCTTAGATTCATTAATAATGAAAGGTCTTGAAATTCCTTCTATGTTTGTAGGTCCAATGCAATTGATATCTTCAAAACCACTTGTTTAATGCAGGTCTATTCTTCTTACAATTTAAATGATTCATAATTCAAAATTTCATTCTCCATGCCAACTTTGAGATGTTTACTGTGCTGAAGGAAAAGAGTCTAGCTCTTCAGAATATGAACATGTATTTAGGAATTTACAGCAGCATATTCTGGAATTCTACTCTTAATTTTTTAAAATATAAATATCAGTTTGTCTCCATGGAAAACAGAGGCTGGGAAGAAGTCTGCTCTTTTTTTCCCATTATGTTTTTAATATCTTTAATTATTGATTGAAGAATGTGTTCCATGATTTAAATGCAGTGAAGAACTAAATCATTATTTCTATTTTTTAGTTTTTTAAATAGCTTGAAATTTTTCCTGATGACAACATATTTTATTCTAGAATTGCAAAATAATATTATGTCCTTATATGGGGCCTATAAGCTTATCTTTTATTTTCGTGAGGCTCTCGAGTTGGACAATCAGTACTAAACATCCTAAGAGGACAATATGTCAAATAACTACAGTTAAAAGAAAAAATAGAGAGAATAAAATTTCAGTTTATATGTACTATTTTTTCTGTTACCTTCTGTGAAAAATGAAGAATTTGTTCTTAATATTAAAATATCATTAATAATCTATTTACCAAAAACAAATGATACAGTTTTAGGTCACTATTTTCTTTGGAGCAATATATTGCTCCTATAACTGTCTATGATCCTTATACATTCTTAAATTTGAATTCAGACAAAACCTATCAGCTACAGGTTGATCTGGTACTCAATGGCATATAAAGGACATAGCAATAATATGAAGGGGCTTCAAAATATTTATGGAAAATTTCCATTATCTTTCAATTCTAGTTTTCCATGAACTTTACGAAGCAACTCCATATGATGGGGTTCCATGTTAATAATGGGTGGTGTAATATTTTGGTCAACATGAATATTTTTGTCACTAGTCATCTCAGAGAGAGACGAAACTAAATCCCATCTGATACCTTACTAGAGAGAGTGAAGATGAAGGGCAGGAGGGCAGGATAGAGGTTGCGAAGTGAAATAAGAAGCTTCATTTGAGAGAGAGAGATGCCATGACTGAATTTGCAATGGCAGGACTTCCTAGCAGAACTTCTTCCCGGTTCAGTTATGGTGGAAGAAGCCAAGCCAGGATAGATCCACACGAGTATACCTAAATTACT